ATACATACACACACACACACAAATGCATACATACATACGTTACGTAGACTAAGTACCACTAATTATATATATATATATATATATATGTATATATATATATATACACACGTACAAATATACAGACACAAGTACATCCATACATTCATACGTCCATCCGTCTGTCCATCCATGCAAACCTGCATACATACTTACATACATACCCACTTAATCATATATATATATATACATATATATATATATACATATAGATATACTGATATACTGTACCAGCAGGCAACCACGGAGACACACACACACACACATACGCACACGCTCTCTCTCTCTCTCTCTTTCTCTCTCTCTCTCTCTCTCTCTCTCTCCCCACTAAACCCTAAACCAGTACACCCCAAGCCCTGAACCCCAAACCGTAAACCACAACCTCCTAAACCCTAAACCCTAAACCCCTAAACCCCACACCCTAAGCCCACCAACTCCTGAACCCCAAACCACCAAGCGTCCACCTCGAAGAAGGTCTCGGAAGGATGGAGGTCCGCCGGGATCTCGCCAGGCCTCGCTCACAGTTCTTCCCGGAGTCTCTAACCCTAAGGGTCCATGTATCCAAAAACAGGGCTCCAGGGTACCATAAGGGTTTAGGGTTTAGGGTTCAGGGTTTAAGGGTCCAAATAGTATATACAGAATTTCGCCTTCACAGTCTTAGACTCATGATATTTAGGGTTTCCGTCCATGTACCCAAATAGTTTTTTCATTGGCCCTAAAGTACCTATATAGGGACTACATTAAGGCCAAAGTATAGACTGGTTGGGTACATGGACCCTCAGGGTAAGCTCCGATCTACCGTTTAGGGCTCTTTAAGGGGATCTATAGGGATTTCTATCAAGGGTACTATAAGAATTAGGGAATATACCTTGAATCAAAGCAGGATCCCCAATATGATTGAAGTAATTAAGTAAGGTATATACCTTAACGAAACGATATTGGAACATCTGGCTTTGGAGGCCAGCTTGCAGTAGGGTTTAGGGTTCGTTTGAAGGGTTCCCTTACGGGGTTGCTTTACAGGGCTCCTTTAACGGGGTCATTTGCAGGGTTCCTTTACGGGGATCTCTAGGGCTTAGGGGCTTTAGGTTCAGGCTTCCCAGTTCCCAAATCTTGCAAAGCCCTTTAAGTAATGATTAGACCTTAAATCATGTTGGTGATCCTACTATAATCTAAGGTATATTTCTTACTCTTTATAGTACCCCTTAAAGAGATATCTTGATAGATCCTTTTAAGGAACCCTACAAGGTATATTCCTTAATCAGGGGGCTCTGGAAGATTTTATAGGGTTTCATAAGTTTTAGGGTGCCTGTACGGGTTTTATAAGGTTTGATACAGGCTTTAGGGATCCTTTGTAGGTTCGATAAGCGCACCAAACGGGTTTATGGGCTTAGGCTGCAAGGGTTCATGTATCCGAACAGGCCTCAGAAGGTCCCTTTCTAGGAACTGCAGGGCCAAAATATATACCAGCTGGGCACATGGCTAACGTTTTTAAGATACCTCGAACTAACAAGCTTGGACGGTTTGGAGCTTTGGGATTTGTGGAGTTTGTGCCTTTATAGGTAATAGGGTTTCACCTAGACCCGATGCCTCCCCAACTACTGTTGATGATATACATCCTGCATTACCCATACTAAGGAATATACCATACTTCCCATACCCTAAGGGTCCATGTACCCAAATGGTAGAACATTGGCCTTAATGTACGCCCTATTCGGGTACTTTAGGGCTTATGTTCTACTATTTTGGGTACATGGACCCTTAGGGTAAGGTACTGCACGACGTTTATCATCAACAGTAGCATCCCATAGAGCCAACAGAGTCTCCATTCAACACGACAGCGGCTCTGTTAAGGGTGCCTTGCAGGGTTTAGGGTTTAAGGGTGGGTTGTAGACTTCGTAAGTCGTAAACCATAAACCCAAAATCCTAAACCCTAAACCCCTAAACCCCTAAACCCTAAACGCCCCCGCGACAGGCATGGTTACAACTGAAAGTCGCCACATCTTCCCTGCCTGTAACAAGGGACTGTTACCCAGATCTTCCAAGATAGGGTTTAGGGTTTAGGGTTTAGGGGAAAATACCTCGTTTCAGGAATATACCTTAAACCACATTCGGGATGCTACTAGATTATTAAGGTATAGTCCTTAGGTAAGTGGTTTTGGTAAGATCTGAGTACTGCAGAAGCAAAGATTGCCGACCCAAGTTGTCAGATTACGGGCTTCGGGTTTGGGGTTTAGGATTTGAGTCTGAGGGTTTAGGGTTCAGGGTTTAGGTAGAGTTAGGGGTTGAGGGAACCGAAAGCGTCGACTAAAGGAACCGATGACCCTGAAAGGGCAAGGACATGACTTCGGCAGAGTTTGATAAAAGGTGCAGTCCAGCACGACTTCCTGTCCAGCCTGTCCAGAAACCCGGGATGACTTTCATCCGGGCATGCCTAGCTCCACACTCCTTCGACGAGAAGCTCGAGGAAGTCCGCCGTGATTCCATAACCCTAAGGGTACTAAGGGGTCCATGTACCCAAAAAGTAGAACATTGGTCTTAATGTAGTCCCTATATAGGTACTTTGGGGCCAATGTTCTACTATTTGGGTACATGGACCCTTAAACCCTAAACCCCTAAACCCTAAACCCTAAAACCCTAAAGCCTTTAAAGGAACCCTTAAACGAACCCTATATTAGGTACATGGACCCTTAGGGTAATGTCGCATGCACTGCGAGCCAGCAGTCGACGACAGGAAATGTTCTTGGCAAGGAGTTTAGGGTTTAGGGTTTA